TAACACATTGAATAGACAAAGGAGTAGAACTGAATCAGTGGAAGACAGAATTAGTGAGATTGAAGGCAAATACTTCAATACATCTTTGCAAAGGGATCAATCAGAAAAAAGATCAAAACAAAATGAAGAAAGCCTAAGGTTGATGTGGGACACCATCAAAAGGAATAACCTACGTGTAATCGGAATTCCAAAACGGGAAGAGACAAATAAAGCCACAGAAACAACTGTCAAAGATTTGTTGGAAGAGAGTTTTCCTGGTATGATGAAAGATGAAAATGTATCCATTCAAGAAGTCCAACAAACCCCAAACAGGATAGACCCCAAAAGAAAATCACCAAGACATATCATCATCAAACTTACCAAAACCAAAGACAAAAGCACCAGAAAAACAAAAAGTTACCTCCAAGGGGAAACCAATAAGACTAAGCTCAGACCTCTCAGCACAAACCATGCAGGCGAGATGACAATGGGATGGTAAATATAAAACCCTGAAAGAGAAAAATTTCCAACCAAGCATTATATACCCAGCAAAACTGTCCCACTGCCCCTCAAATATGATGGTGAAACTAGGACATTTCCAGAGAAGCTGAAATTAAGGGAATTTGTTAAAACCAGACCAACCTTGCAAGAGATACTAAAGGGAATCCTTTGGACAGAAAACCAACAACAGAAAACAATAACTGACCATTAACACACATGATGACATAATCCAGAAACCAATCCAGCTATGGAAGTGCCCAAAGTAAATAAGCCTACAAGATTGTAAAAAGGGAACTAGAGACATCAATTGAAAAATGAAGACAAGTGCAAAGCAGAAAGGGAAAAAAACTGTATAGTTATAGAACTTCTAAATGGTAGGGAAGTCCAGACAACTACAAGGTAGAATGGACTGTTCTAAACTTGGGAAGAAAACTATAAATCACAGGGTAACCTCAAAGAAAAATGATAAACTTTCACATCAAAATGAAAAAGAGGACCAGAACAAATATTTAGCAAGTACTAAAACAATAGCAACGAAAGAAGTGATAATTCATAAACAAAACGAGGTCAGCATAGAAAATTATATGAAACAAAGAAATCAACACCATGAAAAAGCACGTAACAAAATGACAACAACAAATTCACACTTGTCAATAATTACATATCTGGCAAGGGACTTATCTCAAGATTTACAGAAAACTCCAACACCTCAACAGCAAAGGGATTAACAATCCAATTGAAAAATTAGCAGAAGACATGAATAGACACTTCACTAAGGAGGATATTCAGGTGGCCAACAAATACATGAAGAGATACTCACAATCACTGGCCATCACAGAATGCAAATCAAAACAGCAATGAGATACCATCTCACCACCTCAGCACTCATGGCAAGGTTCAACGAGACAGAAAATAACAAATGCTGGCAGGAATGTGGAAAGATTGGGACTCTTCATGCACTGTTGGTGGGACTGTGAAGTGATAAAACCACTGTGGAAAGCAGTATGGCGATTCCTTAGAAAGCTGGAATTGCAGATACCATTTGACCCAGCAGTCCCATTACTAGGTATATACCCTAAAGAAGTGAGAGCCAGGACAGGAACAGATATATGCACACCCATGTTCACTGAAACACTATTTACAATAGCAAAAAGATGGAAACAACCTACATGCCCTTCAACAGAAGAATGGGTAACCAAACTATGGTACACACACACACAATGGTATACTAAGCAACACTAAAGAGTAACAGAGTCAGCAAAACACTGCATAACAAGGATGAACTTGGAGGACATTATGCTGTGTGAAATAAGTCACAGAAGAACAAATATAGTATTAGTTTGTTGTTGTGGAGGGTCAAGGAATGGTTTATATATGGAGGAAAACTTTCTTTGTTGGCTGCTGAGGGGGAGGGGAGGGGAGGAAACATTGCAAAGATAGAAAGATGCATTGACCCATGTCGCTTTAGTTTTGTGTGTTTCACTGTACATAACTTATATTTCAATAAAATGCATTAAAAAATAGTAGCAGTAATTCATCAACTGTAACAAATATACCATATTAATGCAGGATGTTAACAGGAGAAACTGAGTAGAAAGTGAGTATTCAGGAACTTTCTGCTTAATTCTTCTGTAAATCTAAAACTGTGCTAAAAAGTAGTTAATTTAGCTATCAACCAAAATGAGAGGCTAATTTTAGGAAGCTATGCTACCAACAAAACTCTTTTAACAAAATACTCATACCAATTTTCTTCTTAAGCATTAAGGGCAGAAAAAGTACTGAATCGCTATGTTAAAACCAATCTAGCAAACTGACCCCCCTCAAACCAAACCAAATTCACTGCCAAGGAGTCAGATCCAACTCGAAGCGACCCCTCCTTGGGTTTCCGAGGCTTTATCACTATGGAAGTAGATTGCCCAACCTTCCTTCCAAGGAGTGGCTGATGAGTTTGAACTGCCAGCCTTCTGGTTAGCAGTCAAATGCCTTAGGCACTATGCCACCAGAGCTGCCAATGGGGATCCTCAAATTCTGGTTGTCCTTTTAGAAATAAAACAGTATGAATGTTTGTGATATACAGGACAGTTTACTAGAGCAAATGAATTTTCTCCAGATCTCACGAGATAAAGATGGAAATGCTTTTTTGGGATTTCTTTTAATGTGATCCAGATTGACAAAATTCTCAGAAAACACTAAATTAAAAAAAAAAAAAAACCTTCCCCATTTTCCTGTTGTGGTGGTTATGTTTGTGTGTCAACTTGGCTGGGCCTGGTTAAGCTGATGATAGTTATTCCCCATGATGAGACTGGCAATCAACTCCATGGTGGGATCTACCACAAGCACCTGAGTAGCTGCTTTGAGTATGTGGTCTGCATCTCATATATAAGCAGAAGCTTTGGGAATGGTCTCTAGATTATGGCACACTTGGACCCTGCATATAGCCATGTTGTTCAGCAGCCTGCCATGCTCTGCTGACCTTGGGACTTACAATGGACTTAAAATAATGGCCTGCCGTGTGTTTGGTAACATTGGGACTATGCCTTTTTTACTTGTCAACCTTGGGTTTGTCATCCTTAGCAGCCAACAGCTGTCTGAGTGAAGAAATGCCTCTAGCTCCAGTGGGCCGGGAGCAGGAGGCAGAGCTGAACCTTAAGGTTGAGGGGCTTTCACCCTGCCCCTGGAGCCTGGCACTTTGAACTTGGACTTAAAGCCTCCAAACTGTAAGAGAATAAACTCCTGTTTGTTAAGGGCATCCCATTTGTGGTATATATTCCTGTCAGAGCAGCACTAGGTAACCAAAACAGAATATGGTACCAAGAGAGTGGGATGCTGCTCTGACAGATACCTAAAATGCGGAAACAGGAGTGGAGTATGTCCTTGACCTGAGACCCTGGCATATGGCATAAGAGATAGCAGGAGCAGAGCCCAGAGACCAGCATGAGACAGCAATAGTCTTACCAGCCCACGGAGGAGAAAGCCGGGTGCCATTGTGCAGGCGGCTTCCTGGAGAAGTGGGTTGCCTTTAGGCATTAATTGGTAAAAGAGACCAGCATGAGACAGAGTAGCATGCTGGCTGGCCCACGAAGCAAGAAAGCTGAGTACTTTTTGGGCAGGGTTTTCCAGTGGAATGGGTTGCCTTCGGCATTAATCAGCAGAAGCAGAGAGACCAAGGAAATAGAAGCAGAGCTGCCTTAGTCTTAAGGGTAGGACCATGGCCTTTGGGGGTAGAACAACCACAGCCCTCTAAGTTTGAAAGCCAGGCCTTCACCACCTTGGTTTTGGAGTGGGGGGCTGCTCCTTCATGTGAGCCAGTGGGATGGAGCCATAGCTGCTACACAAGAGTGAGGGGGCAGAGCTTCCATGCCCAAGAGGGAGAGGAACGGGGCCTGCCAGGACAAGGGGGTGAGATTATCACTCAGGAACTAGGGGACTGGAGCCACCCAGTGGAGGAGACCTATACAGATACCACCTATTGAAGGTCTGTACAGGAGCCAAGTTGACAAGGGGTGGAATTGTGGTGGTTATATTTGTGTGTCAGCTTGGCTGGGCCTGGATGAGTGGCTGGGCAGCTGGTGGTAGTTATTCCCCATGATGAGACTGGCAATCAACTCCATGGTGGGATCTACCACAAGCAGCTGAGTAGCTGCTTTCGGTATGTGGTCTGCTTCCCAGTATATAAGAAGCAGCTTTGGGAACGGTCTCTGGCTTATGGCACGCTTGGACCCTGCATGTAGTCGTGTTGTTGTTCAGCAGCCTGCCATGCTCTGCTGACCTTGGGACTTACAATGGATTTAAATTAATGGCCTGGCATGTGGTTTGGTAACATCAGGACTGTGCCATTTTATTTGTCAACCTTGGGTTTGTCATCCTTAGCAGCCAGCAGCTGTCTGAGTAAAGAAATGCCTCTAGCTCCAGTGGGCTTGGAGCAGGAGACAGAGCTGGACCCCAAAGTTGAGGGGCTTTCACCCAGCCCCTGAGCCTAGCACTTTGATCTTGGACTTAAAGCCTCCAAACTGTAACAGAATAAACTCCTGTTTGTTAAGGCCATCCCATTTGTTGTATTTTCTTGTCAGAGCAACACTAGGTAACCAGAACACCTGTATTATAACACTACTGCCACAGATTTATGGCACCCGTCTTCTGGATAGTCCGAAGAGCTTCATGGTCAATAAAACATTATGAATGAGTGATGATCTGAGGACTCACTGAAAAACTCACTGCCATTGAGTCAATTCTGACTCATAGCGACCACCACTTGGTTTCTGAGGCTGTAAACCTTTATGGAAGTAGATTGCCCCATCTTCCATCTGCAGAGCAGCTGGTGGGTTTGAACTGCTGACCTTATGTTTAGTAGCTAACTGCCTTATCCACTAGATACCAGAGCTCCTTAATATCAAGACTAGAAGACAGAAATCCTAATTGCTAAATAATAAAAGCACATTTAGACTGATTTTTAAAAGCAAATTTCAGGTGAAGTTGTAAAATCCTAAACACCATTTCAAAAGGCACAAATTGCTACATACCTCCATTATCTCAAAAAGCAGTCCAGGCTCTATGACAATGACCACCTTGTACTCTGCTGCATTTTTGCCAGGGATACTTCCAAGGAAAGAATCTCTCATCGCACATGCACTCTCCACTGCTTCTTCCAATCCAGGCTTCTTCCAGATAGAACTTGTATTAATCCACCCAGTACGAAAAACACTCTTGGGTTCTGGGAAAACACAACCCAATTTAAATTGCTTTACATACTTCCTAAACTGAATATAGAGCTCTAAACCATTAAATATTTATTATTAATGTGAAGTAAGAATTTTTATTTTTATTTGATAAAATATGGAGCCATTGAAAATATTTACCAAACATCTGTGTCAACATTAGGAAATGTTACATTTAAACAAAAGATAAAATAAACAGTGAAATCTCAAAAAAAAAATGCATAGAAACAAATTTCTCAATACTAACAGTAATTGTCAATGAGTAGTAAGATGAGTAATTCTGCCCTCTTCTTTCTAAACTTCTGCAGTTTCTAATAGTCTATAAGCTTAATTCATTTAAGGGAGTAAACAATCATAAAAATAGTCACTAAAACGTACTATACTTTCTATTTTAATAAAACCTAAAATATATTTCTGAACATTTATAAAAGTATTGAAGAAAAAGTGATTTCTCCACATTGTGAAGCTGCTGATACATTTTAGAAAGTACTGGGCAGGAAGGCCATTCTGAAAAGAACCTGTCTACAACAATTCTACAAATAAATGCAGAAACTACTAACTGACCAAGAAACGTCATGCCATAAAGTACACATCATTTGAAGCAGATAAAAGTAAAAGATGCACCCTCACAAGGGATCTTCGTTTAGAGAACACAGTGAATATTCCTTACCATTAGCATAAGGTATGTGCTGGAACACTTCTTCAGCCAAATGAGGAAGAATGGGAGCAAAAGAACGGACTATTACATCCAAAATTTCAGCTAAAGCAGTTTGACAAGACCGTCGTTTGGGATCATTTTCATTTTCACAATAAAGCCTGAACAGGAATAACTGATTCAGCAGTTGATACCACTTTATGTATTATGATCATCAAGATAAGATCTGCCTCAGGTTGAGTTTATAGTAGCAATCCTATGGTTCTACATCATCTTATAATTAAAGAATAAAATATTCTATAGTAATAATTTTTTGATACCTTATCTTCTATTCTACTTTAATCCCTCCAGGTGTCCCGACTTCCTCAGAAAAGTAGCTTTGCTATGCCCAATTCTGTTTTACAGATAGCTATTAGCAAGAATCTAGACTACTATATTAGTAGTTAAAAAATTATTAACACATTAGTCACTGATATTTCAACTGTGATGCTTCACTCCCCACAATGCTATTAGTGTTTTAAGAGAGGACTTGGGAGTTATAATCTCTATGTGGAAAATCATGGGGTACCTTTAATAGGTTGGGGTTGATATCTTACATTGGACTAGTTAGTATAAATATAGCACCACCACTTGCACACAGGAGCCATAAAAGATTTAGTACCAAATTTCCTTTTTAAAGAACATTAATAGCATTATACAATGGTATTATATGATAATTGCCTATATATTTACCTTTGTTGCCATCAGTATCTGTGAACTCCTGAGAGCAAGTACAATGTTCATTATCTCATATTAGTAGCTATAACTTATAGAGCACTTTGTCAGAGCATTAAGCTTATATTATTTCTTTTAATTCTCTTAACCACATGAGATAGGTATTATAATCCCACTTTTTACAGGAGAAGAAACAGAGTATAGGATAAATTTCCCTAAATTATATAACTAGTAAGTTGCAGGACAAAAGTTCAAAATCAGGCTTGACTCCAAAGCCTAATTTCTTAACTTCACAATGCTGCACATCTTGCTCAGCCCTGTGCTGCCAGTGTTTGCCAAGCGCAGAATACATACTCAAGAAATGTTTGTAGAGTATTTTAATATTCAGTATACATACCTATCTTTGATTATGCTGAAATAAAAGTTAGAGAGTTCTCTAGTATAAAATGCGCGTAATAGCCGAATAACTTTTCCAAAATCATATTGTTTGTATGACTCTGTAATCTAAGAAACAAAAGCAAAATATGTTAGGAAGCCAGGATAAACAAATGAAAATCCAAGTCACCATAAGCAAGTGTTCCTTTCAGAATGTGTTTCAAAGACAGACAAATTCAAAACATGGCTCTTAAAGATCTTTTTTTTACTATTTTATTCTTTTAAATTGTGTTTTGGGTGAAAATTTACAGAGCAAATACACTTTCCATACAGCAGTTGAAGATCTTTTTAAAATTCATTTCTAAGTAACAAACTGGATTACACAGGAAATACTAACTAGTCTACTGTAGAAACTACAGAACAATAATCATCAAAGAAAAGGATCAGGATTTAAATGATGAAATCGCACCATTTTAAAACTCCAGAGTGTAAGTAACAATTCACTAACGTTTCCTCACCTTTGCCTAAAAAGTAAAACTGGGCAGAAATTTGTGTGTGCCCTCTGACTTAAGGGTATACTCAAATAACCACATTCCCAATTTTGGGTAAACACAATTTGTGTTTATATCAAAATAAGCAAATATCTTGCAAGAAACATCTAAGTAAGTCATTTATCTCTATACTTTATTATGTAGGGCATATCTGCAGACAAATAAAATAGAACTCTAACTACTCTGTTCCTTCCAAATGAATAAACAGACAAAGCTGAGCTTGAGAGAAAAATGTAGTCTGAGGGGAAGTCTGGGCCTATTGTTTCCACCGTATTTTTCTAAACTCATGAGAACCTAGGAAAGAAATGTTAACTCTTCATACCTAAGGTCTACAACAACCTAGCAAGTGTGGAATAAATCAATTTTAACTTTTCTCATTGCTACCATTACTATTTCTAACAAAGTTTGTTATATTCTCATGAAACTAAAAATTTAAAGTATAATAGTGCTGATAGTTCTTTTTTCCAAAACCTTATTAATGTATACCCACCTTGTTAGCAAAATCATGCAGTAAGTGTAGCATATACTGGTCTATGACATGCATATCTGCAGCAGGAATGGAATCTGTTTCTGGGTTGAAACCAGACACATTTCCCAAAAGAAAGCGGAGTGTATTCCTAAGCTAGTCATATTGGGGGAAAAAAGAAATGACACAATAAGTAAAAAATATAAGTCCTTTAATATTCACTGAAAAGTTATTTTATGCTATAATTAAATTTCAACTCATGCCATTTTCTTAATGCAATATTTCTTTTGTCATTCCTAAGTAAGACTACTATGCAAAAAAAAGGTAAGTCTTATCTCAATAGCCATAAGATTGAATTCTCATTATATTTTATGTAACCTTAGGTGAAATTACTTTTAGTGGTCCAATTTATTCATTTGTCTAGGTAGAATAATGTTATTTTCACCTACTTCACAGGTTAAGATAAAAAATCAAAGGGATGAATGAGAAAGGTCACTGAGTACATAAAAAGAAATAAGGCAGCTGCTAAAGGGGCAGGGAGGCAGCATCTTCTGGTCTCCTCTAACTCCACAAGAGGAAAACAGAATCACCAGCAGCAGCCCAAGGCCTGTTCCTATGAGGCCAGACATGCTGCCACCCCCCAGCCCTCTTACCAACCTTGAAACCAATCATCCCTCCCGCAGCATCCACCATCTCCTTACTGGGTTTGATAATTCACTGCAGTGGCCACACAGAACTCACCGATTATGGGATTTATTAGGGAAGCAACAGGTTACAATTCAAGTTCAGGAACATGCTCAGGATACAGTTCTTCAATTAGGACAGTCTTCCCTCTGCTGTGCCCTTAGACAATCCTCTCTGGACCTTGGCCTCTTGGCCTGGCCTCTGCCTTTGTGGGCCATGTAAGCCTGCCACTCTGTTCTGTGCCTCTTGGTTCCACAGCTGCCATCTCTCGGCCGGGAATCCCTCTCAGCTGGGCATCTCTCTCAGCTGGGTATCTCTTTCAGCCAGCAGTGAGATTCCCTCTCTGCCTCTAAGAGGGCTCATTTTGAGCCTGGCAATGGCAAAACTAACCAATTCCAATATTAGAGTTCTACACACGTGAGAGAGAGTGAACTTTCCCAGAAGAGATTTTGTGCTGCTCCAACAGAAATACCCCAGGTGGATGACATTAATAATCAAGAGTTTAAAAGCAGCTACTCACAGGAATCCTGTGGGAGTTACAAAGACTATGGCTACAAAAGCCATACCATGTAAGTCACTACACTGCAGCAGCATATAAAATCATTAATATTACGACCAATGTTCTTAAATAAATTATTACAAGATATTTTTAAATACTCATAACATGGAGACTTCATTTATTCAGTTTTGCAGTCTCTAAAATGTGGCTTTTTGTTTGCTTACAATGCTTTTGTAACCTTTTCATAGAAAAATAATAAGAATAATGAATCTCACCTTGCTAATATCATCTCTGGCAGCATTAAGTACAGATGGACCAACTGTCACTTCAGTGAAGACATTGGACTCAGCTACCCACCAGCGAAGAACATCAGCACCATAAGGTGGCTCTTTGCTTTGATCCTTTTCATTGAGAAAAAACATAAACAGACCGTCTTTCAATTCCAATTTGTTGAACAAATGTTTACTCAGAAATGTTTGAACACAGAATATAAGTTTAAAATATACAAGCACTGTAATGAATAAAAGCTAATAATCCAAGCAATCAGGATGCATCTAAAAACAGTAAGGACGGCAAAAAGGAGTATATACTCTGCAATCCTGTTCAATGCACAGATGTTAATACCTAATCTCCGTCCTGTTGTGTCTGTGTGCATCTATTACAGCTGGTGGCTAGATGGAAGCTGTGCCCTAGATATCTATTTGACAGGGCAGGGGGGAAAAGGTAGCTTTTTCCTTGCAATATTCCCTACTAACTTTGTCAAAATGATTATAGGGCATTGTTGTTGTTGTTGTTGTTATTTGCCATCAAGTCAGCCCCGACTCCTAGCAACCCCTCCTTGGGTTTCCGAGGCAGTTATCACTACGGAAGTAGGAGTGCCCAACCTTCCTCCCGAGGAGTGGCTGGTGGGTTTGAACCGCCAGCCTCCTGGTTAGCAGTCAAGTAGAGGGCAGTAAAAAGCTAAAGGAGTAAAATAATAGACATATGATTTCTTTCATAAAAGCAATTCCAAAATAAACTAACTTATCAGCAACTCCAGATTTGATATTGATTAATGACTTGCTTTAAAATGTATACATGTGAAGGATATGAAACAATGAAATCTGCACTTACAAGTTACAATTTCATTTTTTTCTTATACTGCTTTGACATTTTTAAAATTTAGAAAATTAAAAATGAAACAGGATGGCTCAGGACCTAACTAGAGAATCAGATTTGAATTAAGCAATAATCTCATCATTTTTTCATTAAAATCATATATGATTTAAAAGTCTAGATTTTTTAACATGGTAAGCATCCTCTGTTAGTATGATGTTGTTGTTAGGTGTTGTCAAGTTGTCTCCGACTCAGCAACCCTATGCACAGAACAAAACACTGCCCAGTCCTGTGCCAGCCTCATGATCTGCTATACCTGAGCCTATCATTGCAGCCACTGTGTCTATCCCATCTCGTTGAGGGCCTTCCCTTTCTTCATTGACCCTCCACTTTACCAAGCATGATATCCCTCTCCAGGGAAAGGTTCCTTCTCACCACATGACCAAAGTAGGTGAGATGACATCTGGCCATTCTCGCATCCAGGGAGCATTCCAGCAGCACTTCCAGGACAGATTTGTTAGTCCTTTTAGCAGATCACGGTACTCTTAGCATTCTTTTCCAACACAACTCAAAAGCATTTACTCTTCTTCGGTTTCCTTATTCACTGTCCAGCTCTCATATGCATAAAAGGTGAATGAAAATACCCTGGCTTGGGTTAGGCACACCTTAGTCTTCAAAGAGACATCTTTGCTCTTCAGCACATCAAAGAAGTATTTTGCAGACTGCTAACCAGAAGGCTGTGGTTCAAACTCACCAGCCACTCCTTGGAAGGAAGATCGGGCAATCTAATTTCATAGTGATACCACCTCGGAAACCCAAGGAGGGATTGCTATGAGTTGGGTCCAACTCCATGGCAGTGAGTTTGGTTGTTTTTTTTTCTGCCCAATGTCTGATGTCTTGACTGCTACTTCCACTGCTGTTGACTACAGAACCAAGTAATATGAAATCCTTGACAACTTCAATCTTTTCTCCATCTACCATGAAGCTGTTTTTTGGACCAGTTGTGAGGATTTTTGTTTTCTTTATATTGAAGTATAATACATACTGCAGACTGTAGTCTTTAATCTTCATCAGTTAAGTGCTTCAAGTCATCTACACTTTCAAGAAAGTTGTGTCATCTGCATACCGCAGATTGTTAGTCTTCCTCCAACCCTGATGCCACATTCTTCTTCATATAATCCAGCTTCTCAGATTATTTGCTCAGCATACAAAGTGAATAAATATGGTAAAAGGATACAATCTTGACACACTCCCTTCTTGATTTTGAACCATGTACTATCCCCTTGTTCTGTTCGAATGACAGCCTCCTGATCTATGTACAGGTTCTTCATGAGTACAATCAAGTGTTTTGGAATTCTCATTCTTCTCAATGTTATCCATAATATCTTATGACACACATAATCAAATACTTTTGCATAGTCATTGAAACAAAAGTAAACATCTTTCTGGTAGTCTTTGCTTTCAGCTAAGATCCATCTGACATCATCAATGACATCCCTTGTTCCACGTCCTCTTCTGAATTGAGTTTGCATTTCTGGAAGCTCTCTGTCCATATACAGCTCCAAGCATTTTTTGAAAATGGGCCTCAGCCTTAATATAGAACCACACTCAAGCCTCCAAGCCCTGGACTTGCTTACCCCAGGCCCCACCCTTTAAATAGAGCCATCTCCAAGTGAAAAGTAGCCCGTTTTCTTTACAATGAAGTAAAGTATTATAAAGGCTTTGGCTGTACACTTAAGTCTTACAGCAAAAATAAAGTGAATTTTTAGGGACTACCTACTTGTCCTCCATTGATGACAACATCAGGATTAATAACATTCCCAAGAGACTTGGACATCTTTTCTCCCTTTTCTCCAAGAGTAAATCCATGAACCACCACAGCCCTGAGAAGAAAAATGAGCCACTTTAAAGAAAAACACAATCACAATGATCTTTATGAAGATGATTTACAGTTTAAAAAAATGATCTAGGTTTGACACAAAATAGGAATTTCTCTTGACAGATTATAGATGAAAGTTTTTGAAAGTCTAATTCTCAGCAGACAATATATCATGAGTATTAAACAGTAAATAAATTCTCTACCATCCACAGAACTTTAGATGTTCTCATTCACTGAACAAATATTAGCTAAGCACCTATTACGTACAGATTTGATCATTAAAACCAATTAGAAAAGTATGTCTTTATTACCCCAAAATTATCTTCAAAAACGTAATTTGAGAAAAATAGTGTCTGCTGTTCTACTGGTTTTTTAAGGCATGTTATATAAGAAATATCAACAAATAAATTGTTTTGGGTGGGTTTTCATCCTGAGATAGCCAAATCATAAGCTATTTAAGAATCTTTCCGATTAGGACTCTCTGTCTACACATTTTAATAAGATATGGCAAATATATGTAACTAATTAAGAATCACTGATTTAATAAAATTCACCAAAGGAATGTTTCAGTTCATTAGTCACTTGTGAATTACAAATGAACGGGTATTTGAGCTCAGACTGTCTTCTCTCAACCTGAAATACCTTCTCTGAAGTTCCTCCTAGTCAAGTCTTAACATATTTCAAGATATAGTCTACACAGGGCTATATGACAGGCAATGCTGACTATATCTTTTTTAAAAGTTATGATCTTATGACTTTAGCTCAGAGCGACAAGACTTCTCTGTATTGTTTTCCACTTTTTCTTTTTTAACCTCAAACTCTTCTTGTTCTTATTTTGCTAATAAGAATGTAAGCTAATTAAAGGTAATATTTTGTATGTATTACTTAGCATAATGCTTCACACACTGGCAAACTCACCGTCGAGTCGGATCTGACTCACAGCGACCCTTCCTTGGGTTTCCAAGGTGGTATCACTACGGAAGTAGATTGCCCAACCTTCCTTCCCAGGAGTGGCTGGTGGGTAGCAGTCAAATGCCTTACGCACTACACCACCAGAGCTCATTGGCAAGTACTCTGCAAAAGTATACTGACTCATTTAGCTAAGGTAAAAGTACTTACTTATAAGGTGCTTTTTTCCTTGCTGCCACACTTGTTAATAAAGAAGATTGAAACCAACCCCCAAGTTGGTCTTTTCCTTCCACGTACAAATCTGCTCTTTGGTCAGTACCTCAAAAATAAATATAAAAAAAAAAAAATGCAGCAATTTAAGTACTTAAAATAGAGAAATAAAAATGAGTATGTATCAAAAGCATTAAAATAAAAAAAGTAACCATGCTATTTATTTATTGTGTTATGCTATTCCCAATGGCTAGATTATATTAATGTGAGCTGTCCCCATCAATGTTGCTTTATTATTCAAAATAAAGAAAAAAAACCTTGAAGTATAATCTCCCAAACTCTAGATAACTAAAACATTATCTAAATTAGGGGCTGATTTATAATATTTATCAAAATTTCCAGTTAAACCTTTTGAAAAAATAAACTAATGTTTTTATTAATATAAAAAATATTTGTTCAGCATCTAATAATATATGTAGGAACTCTGGTAGCACAGTGCCTAAGGCATCTGACTGATAACCAGAAGGTTGACAGTTCAAACCCACCAGCCACTCCATGGAAGGAAGACTGGGCAATCTACTTCTGTAAAGGTTTACTGCCTCAGAAACTCAAAGGAGGTCGCTGTGAGTCAGAATCATGCACACATATGTAATTTTGTTAAATTCTTATGGTAAGTCTTATCAGGTAAACAAATATTACTTTATCCCCATTTTACAGATGAGAAAGGAGGCACAGAGTAGTAATTGCCCAAAGTTACACAGATAGTAAGCAGTGGAGATGGAATTTGAACCTAGACAAGCTGGCATCATAGAGCATGCTGTTACTCAAGAAGTCATGCTATTTGAATGTTCTTGATTTTGATAACTAAATAAATCAGGAAAAAAAAAGTATCTTATAAATAGAAAATCAACCAATTTGACAGTGATCCAATCAAAAGATGGGTAAAACATGAAAAAGCTATTAGTCTCACATGTCTTAGATGCAGCAAGTATGGGAGCTACTTTACATCACCATTCAGCAGTTAACTATTATCTGAGATAACAGCACCATTTTGACAAACAACAAAAATAACAATTATTTCATGCAAAACTCATCAGGATGAACAGATAACTTAGAAAATGATAGTAAATATTTGGGAACCATATATATGATAAGTTTAATATCTAGAATATGTAAAGGACTCTTACAATTCAGTAACAATATGACAAACAAACCAACTAAAAAATGGGCAAAGGGACTTGAATAAACATTTCTCCAAAGATATACCTACAAGTGGCCAATAAACACATAAAAAGATGTTCAAGGTTATTAGTCATAAGGAAAATATAAATCGAAACCACAAAAGTCACCTCACAGCCACTTAACTCACTGCCGTCCAGTTGGATTTGACTCAGAGCAACCCTTCCGTGGGTTTCTGAGGCAGTATCACTACAGAAGTACATTGCCCAATCTTCCTTCCAAGGAGTGGCTGGTGGGTTTGAACTGCCAGCCTTCTGGTTAGCAGCTAAATGCCTCAACCACTACATTATACCACTAGGATGGCTATTATCAGAAAAACTGAAAACTAACAAATGTTGGTGAGGATATAGAAAAATTGGAACTCTCATGCATTGCTGGGGGGAGCATAAAATGATACAGCCACTATGCAAACAGTTCAGGGATTCCCTAAATGTCAAATGTAGAATTACTATATGACTCAGGAATTCCACTCCCAGGTGTGTGTATGGGTGTGTGTGTATGTGTGTGTGTGTGTATATATTTAAGACCTGAAAGTAGGGACTCAAACAGATACATGTATAACAATGTTCACATTACACAACAGCCAAAAGGTGGAAGCAACCCAAGTATGCATCAATAGATGCATGAATAAACAAAATGTGGTATATACATACAATGGAATATTATTCAGCCAGTCAAAGGAATAAAGTTCTGATACATGCTATAACATAGATGAATCTTGAAAACATGCAGAGTGAAATAAATCAAAACCAAACCCACTGCAATTGAGTCAATTCTAGAGAGTGTAATTGCCCCAAAGGGTTTCTAAGACTATAAATTTTTATGGAAGCAAACTGCCTCCATCTTTCTCCCATGAAGCAGCTGATGGGTATGAAGGCCAAACTTTTGGTTAGCAGCCAAATGCTTTAACCACTGCACCACTAGAGCTCCTTAGGGTGAAATAAGTCAGACACAAAAGAATAAATATTATATGATCTCACATATATGAAATATCTAGAATAAGTAAATGCATAGAAAAGAAAATTACTGGTCTCTCCCATCTAGAGCAAAGAAGAGGAAGACAATCAAAGATGTAAGGAAATCAAAGGATTAATAGACCTCATAAACATCAACCTCCAACTACCCTGAGGCCAGAGCTAGATGCTCCCTGGCTACCAACTGCTCTGACTGGGATTACAATAAAAGGTTCTGGTAGAACAGAAGAAAAATGTAGAATAAAAATTAAAATCATAAAGATCAGGTTGACTGGTCTGATACAGACTAGCAGACCCCCGAGCCTATGGCTCTTAGATACCTTTCAAGCCTGGGACTGAACTCACTCCGCATGACTCAACTTTCAGCCAAACAACAGACAGGCCTATAAGGTAAATAAGACCAGGAAGGTACACACTCACTAGAAAAATCAACCATATGAGGTCAAAAGAGAAGTATTTTCCTATGGCTAAAGCTAAGAAAGCAGAAAAGGCTGAGAAAGGACTAAGGGAAATAATAAATCAGCAAGGAAATAGATGACTGCTGTTACACTGTGCAGACTACAATCAATGTTAAAAAACAAAGCATATATAAATTGTTGGATGGAAAACTAATTTCACCCAAAACATAATAAAAAATTTTTAAAAAATTTATTAGTGATCACCAGGGGCTGTGGGGGGGGGGTGGTGGAGAGGGAGCAGGGAGAGAATGCGAGTTATCACTGAAGGAGTACTAAGTTTCTTTTTGAGATAAGGTAAAACTTTTGGAAACGGAAAGTAGTATGGTAATGCAATTAATGTCACTGAATTGTACAGATAAAATGGCAAACTATTTGGTATACATATTATCACAATAAATTTTTTAAAAACTCATCAAGGAATGCTATACCATGGTGTGGACAGGAAGACTGAACATTGTGAAAATGTCAATACTACCCAAAGCAATCTATACATTCAATGCAATTCTAATCTAGATTCCGTTAACATTCTTTAAAGATATGGAAAAACCAATCATTAATTTTACATGGAAAGGAAAGAGACCTCGGGTAAGCAAAGCACTATTGAAGAAGAAGAACAAAGTAGGAGGTCTCACATTGCCAGATCTCAAAACCTACTATACAGCCACAGATGTCAAAACAGCCCAGTAAGGGGCCAACGGAGTAGAACTGAGAACCCAGAAATAGATCCATCGACCTGTGGTCAGCTGATTTTTGACAAAGGTCTGAAATCCATCACATGGGGAAGAAATGGTCTCTTTTACAAATGGTGCTGGCAAAACTGGACATCCATTTCAGAAGAATGAAACAAGATCCGTACCTCACACAAAGACTTAACTGTGAAACCTAAAACTATAAAGTTGCTCAAGGAAAAACGAGGGGCAAATTTAGGGGTCCTCATTTATGGCATAAAAACACTGTCAACCATAACGCAAAATGCACAAACAGCAGAAGATAAACTAGATGAAATGGACCTCCTAAAAATTCAATTTTTATGTGTTTCCAAAGACTTCTCCAAAAGAGTCAAAAGAGAACCTACAGATGGGGAAAAAATATCTGGCAATGACGTATCTGACAAGGGACTTATCTCTAAAATTTTTAGAAAACTCCAACACCTCAACAACATAAAGATAATCCAATTAAAAAATAAGCAGAAGACATGAATAGATACTTCACCAAAGAGGATATCCACGCGGCCAACAGACATATGAAGAAATGCTCATGATCATTAACCATTGTGTTGTTTTTGTTGTTATGTGCCATTGAGTCGGACCCGACTCATAGCCACCTCTCCTTGGGTTGCCAAGGCAGTATCACTACAGAAGTAGATTGCCCTATCTTCCTTCCGAGGAGTGGCTGGTGGGTTTGAACCACCAGCCTTCTGGTTAGCAGGCAAGTGTCTTAGCCACTATACTACCAGAGCTCCCCATTAACCATTAGAGAGATGCAAATCAAAACAACAATGAGATACCATCTGGTCCCAGCACTAATAGCAAAGTTCAACAAGACAGAAAATAACAAATGCTGGCAAGGATGTGGAGAGATTGAGACTCTCATACACTGCTGGTGGGACTGTAAAATGATACAACCACTGTGGAAAGCAGTACGGCAATTCCTTAAAAAGTTGGAATTAGAAATCCATTTGATCCAACAATCCCAGTACTAGGTATATATCCTAAAGAAGTGAGAGCTAGGACAAGAACAGATATATGCACAGCCATATATATGCACAGATATATGCATATCTTTTTGCAATAGCAAAACGATAGAAACAACCTAGGTGCCCATCAACAGAAGAAGGGATAACCAAACTATGATACCTACACACAATGGAATACTATGCAACACTAAAGAATAATGTAGAATCTGCAAAACAGAGTGAAAGAAGTCAGTTACAGAAGGACAATATTGTATTAGTTCATTATTGTAAAAAGTCAAGGAAAGGTTTACATATGGAAGGAAATGTTCTTTGTTGGTTACCAGGGGTGGGAGGGGATGGGAGGAAACACTGCAAAATTTTTTTTTTTAAATACATTAAAAATTTTAAAAATACAATAATAAATTCAAGGAATGCTAAAAACCAAAGTCATACCCACTGCTGAGTCAGTTCTGACTCACAGCAACCCTATAGAACAAGAGAGAGATATCCCACTGACATTCCAAGGCTGTAATCTTTAAGAAAGCAGACTACCACATTCTTTCGTCCATGAAGTAGCTGGTGGGTTTGAACTGCTGACTTTTTGGTTAGCAGCAAAGCATTTACCACTGCACCATCAAGGCTCCTCCAAGAAATGCTAAACTACAGGGTAAAAGTTTGATGAAAATATAGGGTATTTCCAGAGAGTGCTTTACAATACAGAAAACTGGCAGACATCTCCTTAGCCATATGATCAAAGTTCAAACATAATGGGACAAATAGATACTATGTAATAGTCCTGCCAAAAAATGTATAACCTGAATCTAATCATGAGGACACAGGACAGAAACACAAACTGAGTGACAATCTGCAAAATAAACGGAACTAAATCTTCACCCAAATCCTAATAAAAAAAAAAAATAAACGGAACTACACCATCAAAAACAACAAGGTCATGAATGATAAAGAGAAGATAAAGTGACATGACAAATCAAGGCAAAATGTGATCCTAGACAACAAGTTTAGATCTTGGCCCATTTGTTTTTTTCTTTTCCCATAAAATATACTACTGGGCGAACTGGTGAAATTTGAATAAGGTCTGTACATAGATAAGAACAAGGAATCAATGTTAATTTTCTGATTTTGTTATTTGTGCTGGTAACTTAAGAGACTGCCCATGTTATTAAAGAGTTCTGTTGGGACTGCGGCTAAAGCCTTTGTTTGGCAGCTAACCAAAAGGTCAGCAGTTTGAACATACCAGCCGCTCTGCAGGAGAAAGATGAAGCAGTCTGCTTTCATAAAGATTATTGTTGTTGTTATGTGCTGTCAAGTCAGCCCCGACTCACAGTGACCCTTCCTTGGGTTTCCTTGGGTTTCCGAGGCAGTATCACTATGGAAGTAGATTGCCCAACCTTCCTTCTGAGGAGTGGCTGGTGGGTTTCAACCGCCAGCCTTCTGGTTAGCAGTCAAGTGCCTTAGGCACTATGTTACCAGAGCTCCTTTCATAAAGATTACTGCCTTGGAAATCCTATGGGGCAGTTGTACTCTGCCCTATAGGGTTGTTATGAGTTGGAATCGACTTGATAGCTGTGGGTAGGTCCATGTTACTAGGAAATACACACTGAAGCATTTAAGGATAAAAGGGTATCAGGTCTACAATTTACCTTTCAATGATACAGAAAACCCATGGACAGAAAGAGAACATTAAATGTGATAACATTTTAACATTTGGGAAATTTGGATGAAGGGTATGTGGTCATTCTTTACACTACTTTGAGACTTTTCTGTAAGTCAAAAGTATATAAAAAGTTTGTGGAGGAAAAAAAGAAATATGAAGTATTTGGGGAATATAATTTTAAATCTAAACTCACAATTCTAAGAAGCCCCCATTCCCTTTCAGATATAAAATGATGATTTTTCCTTATGTACTAATATAAGAATTCAGAGTGTCTGGTGGGTTTGAACCACCAGCTTTCTGGTTAGCAGTCAAATGCCTTAGACACTATGTCACCAGAACTCCCATGACAAAGATTACCTGGGTGGAAATGGAAAGACAAAAATTAAAATGACTGAATTAAACCAGTGCAAGTTCAATTCAATTAACATTACTGAGAACTTCTGGCAGCATAGTACTGAAGGCATCTGGCTGCTAACCAGAAGGCTGGCAGTTCAAAGCCACCAGCCACTCCTTGGAAGGAAGGCTGGGCAATCTACTTCTGTAGTGATAGTGCCTCGGAAACCCAAGGAGGGGTCGCTATGAGTTGGATCTGACTCGAGGGCAGTGAGTTTGGTCTGGGATTATACAATCTGCACTATGCTAGACACTGGGGAAATAACAACGAAGAAATACAATGTCTGCCATCTTGGAACTGACTGACATCTAATCAGTAGATTTTATGATAAACAAGAGTTAACTGTGATAGGTGTTACCAAGAGGACAACACAGGGTTTAACCTAGTCTGTGTTGTTGTTGTTAGGTGCCATTAAGTTGTCCCTGACTCATAGAGACCCTATGCACAGCAGAATGAAACACTGCCTGGTCTTGTGCCAGCCTCATGATCCTTGCTACACCTGAGCCCATCATTGCAGCCACTGTGTCTATCCACCTAGTCTGTGCAGTGTGGATAGTCAAAGGTAATAGATAAATATAAATACCTATGCAAAGGCAAGAAAATGTTTTATGCAACATCTAGAATGTTACATCTATATCCCACTTTTCTTCTACTAACTTGTAGCCCTTATATGTAACCATTTAAACTTTTATGATGCCACATTCAAACCTCATCCAACCCCAAAACGTTAACTTCCTACTGATGACCATGTTTTGGATAAAGCAATATGCAATAAGATAATTACAGAAAACCAGTGGAAATCATTTTGTGAAATGAGTAGGTAATGGAATAGCAGAAGCCATCCCTAACCCCTACTTTCTTTGAAAAGTACTACTTCTGGTCTAGTGAAAAGATTACTAAAAGTATATAACCATGGATTCCAACTAAAGTTTGATCATCTTTGACATTTTTGTGGAAACTGTTCATTAGCTCATCTATAACACAAGGCTTAGATCATCTCTAAGATCTTTGCCAACTCTAAAATTTTATAATTTTAAGAAAAGCTGATTATTGCATAAGGACCTCCACATAGTAAGAGCACTTTGAAGACTACAGGGGTTGTCAGACTACCTGAGTTCAAATCCTGACTGCAACACTTACTAGCTGTGGAGATTTAGGCAAGTAGTTTACCCTTTCCAATGCTTCCATTTCTTCTTCAATAAAATGTGGATCATAACAATATCTACCTACCTCATAGGTGTGTTGTAGACATTAAATAAGTAATATAGGACAATGTTTAGACCATAATAATGCCTGGTCTGAGACTAAGTTATGTGACCATCACTTAATTTGGCTCTGATCAATTTCATTTCCTCTTCTGAAAAATGATGGGGTCTGATTATTTCAGTGATGTTCAGTTTTGTTTTATAAAACTGGATGCCTTGGATACCGCCAAGTAAGACCAAGGAGAATGAACTGGGTAAGAGGAGGGAGGAAATTTCCATTTTTATGTATCTTATGTATAGTGGTTCTAAATAGAGTTTCATCTGGGGATAAAAAAGGTTTGGGAATCACTGAGTTAGACAGTCATCAAGGGTCCTTCCAGGTCTAAAATGATATTATAGCAGGAAATTATCTTCTAAATAAAGCAAAAACACAAGTAACTAATTACAGATGTCTTCTAAATAAGATCTATATAATTTTAAAACTTCTAATACATTCTATTAAAAATTACCTTGAAGAACATGAGCCCATGAAGTTCCACTGTCAAACCAGATATCTAAAATATCCTGACCTGGAACATATTCCAAAGCACCAGGACCACCAACCTAATTAGAAATATAATAACATTTTAAAATTACACAAAATCATAATATACAGAGTCAATACCAAAAAAAATCTTAAGAAAATAAAATACAATCATTAAATTCAAAATTGTTAAATGAAATTTAAAATATTTGAAAATATTTCACAACTAAATACAATTGCCTCCATTTGTTTATGGTCAATTAATAATTACAAATTTTCCAGTGGAAGTATAAACTGGCTTTTATTTTCTTAAAACTAACTTCCAATTTGCATTTTTTGATGTGTGATGCAATCTGCTAACTTTAATTCAGATCCTATAAAGTCCTTCTGTATCAATGTGAAGAACTATTCTCTCATAATTTTAGGAGTCTATAAACCATTGTTTTAGTCACAATTGTTATTGTCATGTCAGCCTCCGCCTCACGGTAAACCTATGCACAATGGAATGAAACACTGCCTGGCACTCCGTCACCCCATGATTAGTTGCAGACTCACTTTACTTCACCTCACTGTCGTCAAGTCAGATCTGACTCATAGCAACCCCCTCCTTGAGCTTCTGAGGCAGTATCACTACAGAAGTAGATTGCCCAACCTTCCTTCTGAGGAGTGGCTGGAGGGTTTGATTGCCAGCCTTCAGGTTAGCAGTAAAATGCCCTAGGCACTATGCCACCAGACCTCCCACTGCAATACATAGGGTTTTTACCGGCTTTTTTTTTTTTTTTTGAAGTAGATCAAAAGGCCTTTCTTCCTAGTCTGTCTTCATCTGGAAGTGCTACTGAAACCTATTCAGCATCATAGCAACATGCAAGCCTCCACTCATGGATGGATGGGTAGATGGGTGATGGTACACATGAGGTGCACTGGTTGGGAAAAGAACCACGGTATCCTACTTGGAAGGCAAGAATACTACCATTGAACCACCAGTGCCCCTAAAGTCAGAATTATATTAGCTTAATCAACCAAGTCATTCAAAATCAATCTTGGCCTTCGTGAGACTATGAAGATCATCACACTATGCTGCTATATTAAATACTATGCCCATTTTCAAACTATCGACATAATTTCTAGTGAATACATTCATTAACTTTAAATGATAATGCCTTTAAATCCCAAGGATCTCACAAGTTGTCAATAAGTCATGCAATACACATAGAATGTTAAATACAGATAGAAGTTTACCTGAGATAAGATTTCTTTTGGAAGAAGCTGCTCAGGGGGAAGAGTCCACCAGATATCACTTCCATGTTGTTCCACTAGTTTAATAATATGCTCAATGGTTTGACTATTTTGGAGAGTAAAGGCAGAATTATGCAATTTACTATTGTAAATAATACCAATTTTTTAAAAATTATATAATAGTAGTAATATTTTCAACAAGGGTATAAAGTCCATTTAATGGAGAAAGAATAGTCTTTTCAACAAAGGATCATAGGACAAATGGATTTCCACATGCCAAAGAATGAAGCTGGACTCTGACCTTACATTATACACAAAAATTAACTCAAAACAGATCAACCACATAAATATATGAAATAAAACTCTTAGCAGAAAACACAGGGACAAATATTCATGACCTTAGATTGGCAATTAGTTCTTAGGTAAGAAATCAAAAGTAGGATCACAAAAGAAAAAACAGATAAATTGAACTTCATTTTTTTTTTAAGTCCTGTGAATCAAAGGATAATATTAAAAAAGTGAAAAAGACAATATAGAGAATGAGAAAAAATATTTGAAAGTCATATATATGGTAAGGATTTAATATCTAAAATATATAAAAACTCCTAAAATTCAACAATAAGACAAAACAAATATAAAATGTGCAAAAGACTTGAACAGACATTTCTTTGAAAAAGATATGCAAATGGCCAAAAAGCACATGAAGAGATACTCAAAATCATTAGTCATTAGGAAAATGTAAGTCAAAACCACTAGAATGGCTAGCATCTCTCTCACACACTCTTTCTTATACACACACACACACACACACACACACACAGGAAAGTAACATGTGTTAGCCAGGATATGGAGCAATTGGAACCCTTGTATATTGCTGAATATAAAATAGTACGGCTACTGTGGAAATTTTTTGTCAATTTCTCAAAATGTGTGAACACAGAATTAACAAAAAAACAAAAAAACAAATTTACTGTTATTGACTCATAGTGACCCTTTAGGATTGAACAGAACTGCCCCAACAGAGCTTCCAAGGCTGCAACATTTAAGGAAGCAGACATCTTTCTCCTGTGGAGTGGCTGCTGGGTTCAAACCACTGACCTTTTGGTTAGCAGTCCAATGCTTTAACCACAGCAGCACCAGAGCTCCTAGAATTACCATGTTGTTTTGTTGTTAGGTGCTGTCGAGTCCGCTCCAACTCATAGTGACCCTATGTAGAACAGAAAGAAACACTTTGCCTGGTCCTATGTCAGCCCCACAATTCCTGCTATGCCTACACCCATCATTGTAGCCACTGTGTCAATGTCAATCCATCTTGTCGAGGGCCTTGCCCTTTTTTGTTGACCCTTCACTTTACTAGGGAACGTTCCCTTCTGGCAACATGACCAAAGTCAGTCAAATGAATCTGGTCATTCTCACTTTCAAGGAGCATTCTGGCTGTACTTCTTCCAGGACAGATCTGTTCACTCTTCTGGAAGTCCGTGGTACTTTCCGTATTCTCCGCCAACACCACAACTCAAAACCATAAATTCTACTTCGGTCTTCTTTATTCACTATCCAGCTTTCACATGCATATGAAGCTACTAAAAATACCATGGCTTGGGTTAGGCGCACCTTAGTCTTCAAAGAGAGATCTCTGCTCTTCAGCACTTTGAAGAGGTCTTTCTGGGCATATTTGCCAGAAGAGTATGTCGTCTGATGTTTTGACTGCTGCTTCCTCAGGTGTTCACTGTGGAACCAAGTAACATGAAATCTTTGACAACTTCAATCTTTTCTCCATTTAACATGATGCTGCTTATTGGTCCAGTTGTGAGGATTTTTGTTTTCTTTATATTGAGGTGCAATTCACACTGCAGACTGTAGTCTTTGATCTTTTACCATATGACCCAACAATTCCATTCCTAGGTATATGCGTAAAAGCAGAAACTCAGAATAGATACATGTATACAATGTTCACAGCAGCATTATTCACAATAGCCAAAAGGTGGAAACAACCCAAGTGTGTATGAACAGATGACTGGATAAACAAAATTTAGCATATACATACAATGGAGTTATCATTTAGCCATAAAGAGAATATGGTGACATAAATGAACCTTGAAAACACTATGCTAAGAGAAAAAAAGCCAGACACAAAAGTATACATATTGTATGATTCTGCTTATATGAAATACCTGGAAGAGACAAATGCATAGAGAAAGAAAGACAATTAAGAAGTTACCAGAGGCTGAGGGGAAAGGGGATAAGAATAGTTATTCCTTAATGAGTAGTTTCTCTTTGGGTTGATGAAGAAGTTTTGGAAATAGATAGCGACGATAACAACGTAAGATTTTAGTATACTCAATGCTACTGAATTATGTACTTAAAATGATTAAAATAACAAATTATATATGTAAAAAATATATATCATGAAATATATTATATATAAATAATAATAATACATAACCACAATGAAAAAGAGAAACAGTGATACTATTTCCTATTTGCAGCCTTGACCTTTCCCCCTAAGCCTTTAGTGGTATAGCTTCAATTACCTGCTTGCCTGGTTGCTGTCATCTAAACTTCAATACAAATAACATAGATTATATATGTTGTTGTTGTTGTTATGTGCCATCAAGTCAAACCCGACTCATAGCGACCCCTCCTTGGGTTTCCGAGGCAGTTATCACTACGGAAGTAGGATTGCCCAACCTTCCTTCCGAGGAGTGGCTGGTGGATTTGAACCGCCAGCCGACTGGTTAGCAGGCAAGTGTCTTAGCCATTATGCTACCAGAGCTCCCAGATTATATAATACCTCTTTAAAAAAAAAAAAAAAAGGCTTCTCCTGACATCCCTATTCCAGTCATAGATGTCTCTGTTTCTATCTATTTTCTATCCAGGTACCTGCACTCATAACTCTTAATTATCTCTCCTTGTCTCAATTTCTGCCCAACTTAAGCCAACGCATTCTGTCCGTTCAACTTTGAAATATTACTGATATTTGTTCCTTTATCTCACTGACAATATATTAGTCCAAACTCATTGCCTTAATATGAAATTGATGCAGCAGTCTGACTTTTCCCCCACTCTCATCTCTTTATGTGACATGCCTTAAGAGATGCATTGTTAAAACTGCTTTTAGCACACCAATCCCCTGTTCAAAAACTTTCAATGACCCCCTCACTGCTCACAGTAATTAAGTACAAATCCATCTAAGACGCAATGCCAAACTAGAGCACAGGGTTCAACAACAGATAATCTAGGTATGTCCTGACTCTGTGACTTTTTTTTTTTTTTAATTTTTATTGTGATTTGGGTGAAAGTTTACAGAGCAAATTCAATTTCCATATAGCAGCTCACATATACTTTGTCTCATGCATTGACTGCAATGTCCCACAATGCAACAGCTCCCCTCCCACTTCTTACCCAGTTACCTCTTCCCTGTGTCCTTCCTTCCCATGTACTCCTACCCTCCAAGCTGTCTCCCTGTGCATACACAGCCCTTCTATTCTCCCATGACTGATCTCTCCAAGGAGTGTATCTACCTAATGTAAATGTTAGCTCATACGCCTGTCTTTTGTTTGGCTGGAAGCCATAGGAGTAGGTTCAATTTCAGACCTGAAGGGCAGCTAGGAGCCACAGTCTCAGTACTTCCATCAGGGTCTATCAGACCAGCAAACCTGGTCCTTTTTTTTTTTTAAATGATTTTGAATTTTGTTCCATATTGTTCTCCCACTCTATCCAGGATCTCCTACATAGATTCCTCTCTGAGTGGCTGACAGCGGTAGCTGGGCACCATCTAGTTCTTCTGGTCTCATAGTCCTATAGGCTGAGGATCGGATGGTGTACCAGTCACTTGGACTAATTGTTTCCATGCATCTTTGATTTTCTTCATTCTTCTTTGCTCTGGACAAAGAGAGACACATCGTTGCATCTAGACGGCCACTTACAAGCTTTTAAGATACCAGTCGCTACTTGCCAATGTAAGATATGGAACAATGTTTTTGTGTAGTATGATATGCCAATTGAGTTTGATGTCCCCTGCAACTATGGTCCCAAGCCCACAGGACCAACTATTCTCTCTCTCTGGGTAGCTGGCTGTGGCCAAGAAGTGACTAAAACCTTGTCTCTTGTAAGCTCTACTACATACCTGGGAATACTTACACCAGATACAAATACACTTGTAGAACCATTATCTGCCAATCCTATACATAGTCTTAGGCACACTCCCTCCTGCATAGACATACCTAATAGTTCAGCCTGTCTACCCATCTATTTACCCATAGATCAATGTTTGCCTTCACTGACAATGCAGTACTATATGTGCAAAAGGGTTCACGTTTGTTGTCTGTACCTCCCATGCACCTCTCTGACTTCCTCTTCCTCCATGCCACCATGTTGATCACTCACATTTGGTACACTGCCCTTCTCTTCATCCAAATCAATACTTGTCTATATCTATCTAACAGTATTCCCTCCTCTTCCCTCCCACCCCTGGTAACCAACAAAGAACATTTCCTTCCATGTATAAACCTTTCCTTGACTTTTTACAATAACAAATAACAGTATTTGCCCTTCTGTGATTGCCTTATTTTACTCAGCATAATGTCCTTCAAATTCATCCAAGTTATGTGGTGTTTTGCAGATTCTAAATTATTCTTTAGGTTGCATAGTATTCCACTGTGTATATGTGTCACAGTTTGGTTATCCATGCTTCTGCTGATGGGTACCTAGGTTGTTTCCATCTTTTGGCTATTGTAAATAATGCTGCAATGAACATGGGTGTGCATATATCTGTTCTTGTCTTGGCTCTTACTTCCTTAGGATATATACCTAATAATGGGATTGCTCAGCCAAATGGTATTTCTAATTCCAACTTTTGAAGGAATTGCCATACTGCTTTCCACAGTGGTTGTATCATTTTACAGTCCTACCAGCAGTGGATGAGAGTCCCAATCTCTCTGCATCCTCGCCAACATTTGTTATTTTCTGTCTTGTTGAACTTTGCTATTAGTGCTGGGGCAGGATGGTATCTCATTATTGTTTTGATTTGCATCTCTCTAATGGCTAATGATCGTGAGCATTTCTTCATATGTTTGTTGGCCGCCTGAATATCCTCTTTGGTGAAGT